ACTATACAACTTAGACCCAATTGGGACTTGATCTCCTCTTAAACCGTCCCTCAAAAATATCAAAACTGACACAAGCCAATGAGAAAATAAATGTCTACACATTTGCTAATCATACAGGGCTGGCCTCGCGGAATTCAATTATAACATAGGGTAGGTACAACTGCTGAAACTTCTAATTTAAATACAATTCAGTTGGTTGAGATAGCTCTAAGAAAAATATTAAAAGCTGCGTTTTACGTGTGAAATGAAACGATGCATGTGTACAGAGGTCTTAAAATACTAACTGTTAAAGAAACTGCTCTACATACAAGCTCTATATATACAAGCCTATTCTGCACACGAAACAATTAGTTTCAGCTCTCCGTTTCTTCTCAAAACGTTCCTAACGTATCGAATAGGCGTCTAACACGACAATGGTAATATGTAAATACCTTTCAAGGTAATTTCTTCTCCTTACCAAAACAATAAACATATTCATCGCACGGAGTAAGCCAACTGGTCTCTTTCTCCTGTCACGCATTTAAAATGTATTCTAGGTTTAATATTTAATCACTTGTACTTTACTGCACAACATGTTATTTGCAGATTGTATATAATATCGTAAGAAAAAAAATTACACATAATATATAACTAGGTATATAATATTGTATAATGTATATTAATAGTAGGTATAGGTACATATAATTTATACTGCAGCTCTAATATAATCTACCTATTTGATGTTAAGACAATTGTTGAGATTAATTATTAAAATTTTGCTTAAAAAAAATGATATAAATAATTTGAAAACTCAACTGTCGTTCACATTAACAAAATCACTCTGTACACGGCTATTGCAGTGTTCCGAAATACGTTACTTATTTTAATCAAATAGAATATTCAGTAGTTGAAAGATATTCATATTATTATGAATGTCTAACAATTAATAGATAATACTTCTGCTAGTATCGTCTATCATTGGATGGCCACCTTTTCTATTAATTTCTCTTGTATTATATGTGTTATGTTTACTATATATTTCTGTTTTTGTGTAGATCCTTACATACTTTTATCAAATTTACTAATTGTGTTCTGTTTATAATTATTTATATTTTAAAAAAATGTAACTGGTTTATAGCTAACTTATATGGTTTGCTATTTACACTGTACAATGTACAAGTTAAAAAAGAAAGAAAAGTAACTTAAAACCCTAAACCTAGCTTATATCAACTTGACTTAACGAATTAAAAAAAATTAACTAACTCCTCATCTATGTAAAATAGATCTTACAATTATCGTATATTTTGAAAGGATCACTGAATTATAATATAATTAATTTGATTTTTTATGCATAATAGAAATAAGGGGATGTAGGAGCTGCCCAAAAAAGTTCGGTTAACATTTAAAAAAAAAAATGTTATGCTCGAAACGTGTTTCTTGTTTGGCTCAAAATCCAAAAGTAATAATCTGTAGGTACACACGATCTATATTATGGATCACAATAATATAATATAATACAGGTAAAGCATAATATATGCACTTGTAATTCGTAAACCGATCGAATGTGACACACCCTTTGTTTTTATTATTGTTACATCGAAATCCAATCTCGAGATTTATCTATATCTATATAATATATTTTAACTAAAGGCGGAACATGATAATAATTATAATATACATACCTACCTGTAATTTTGACAACCACCGAAGCGAACAAAAAAAAATACGTCCACGGGACGTATTATACTGCACTATAATAGGTGAATACATATAATACAAATAATAATATGTATATAACGTGCCCCTTAAGTGAATTGATTTTTTCGCTTAAATACATAGATACACATACTTATAGTATGTTTATAATATTCGATTCGGTGAAAAAAAAAAATAATATATTGTATTGAGAGCAAGTATACTATATTGTGTTCTCGTGAGATTTTCAAACCTCTTTAATGCGGCAACTCGGTTGACCTATTGGAAAAAAAATGTTTATCATACTTTCAAACTTAATAATAATATTATAAGTATCGTTGTAATTAACCCTCGTTATCTGACTATAGTATTTTGGGCGGTTGGGTTAACACTTACCGCAAACAAAAATCATTTTACTTTCTTCTGAAATTCTCAAACAATTATTTTCAGACATTGGAACAAGAGGTCGTCCAAGTTAATTTCATACTTAAACTTCATTTAACTTCATCACAAAGTTAACAATTAAAATTATTATAACGTCTACTCATATATTTTTACAACAATATATGTGCACCAAAGTCGAGTCTATAATACTGCAGGAACCGCAGTATACAATTTATTTCGTTGTTGATTATATATAACATTCTACCGTAGTGTTCGTCTAGATCAAAAGCGATGGTCGTCTGCGTGTCTTATTTTTTTAAATCACCGAAAAGTAAACCAAAGTGCGTGATGACGATTGGCGGGGTGTTACAAAAGGAAGGTATTTTTTTTTTTAGAACGGTGTGTGGTATGGTGAAAAAAATTAAAAAACATTGCTTACGTAATATTAGAAGGTCCAAAAAAACCAATCAAATAGATTACTATACCTACATCCGTCAAATGATAATGATATAATCGTCATATAATCGAGTTTACTCTGTAACTAAGGACACACACAACTATATAGATAACAAGATCAAAGATAAACATGGTACCAGTTAACTGTGTCCAAGGAAAAGGGAATCAAGACCAATATAATCCAGACTTAGATGGCAGTAGTCCCCAAATATAGGAATATACCTATTTATAATAAAAGAGATTTTTTTTTTAAAAATATATACTTACTAAACATTTTCTAAATAATTTATGTATGTAATTATTTATGTATGGCATGACTGAATCAAGGAGCCCAAATCAAGATTCGATCTGACTTACATAAGTATATAGATATACCTATATATTTTTAACGAAAAGGATTTCTAAAACCATCTGTATTTTTATTGAGAAAATCTAACTTCTTAAAAGATTTATTTATTACAGTTGTATGATTATTTTTTTAAAAAAAGATCACTTTCAAAATAATGCCCTAATCTTTGATTGAGTTAACTCTAACAATAAGACTGAAATAATTGTATAATCAAAAATGATAGCATTTTCGTAAGTTCTATAATACGGCGTTTGCAATATTTATTAGTGATAAATTAATTTTACTCCATACATACCAATTTATTTTTAAATTTAACAGTAGAGTTCAAGAATCATTTTATAGATTTAGCTATAGAGCTATATTTGCTTTGCATAATCAGCAAATAACGAAATTATTTTAGAACAATCAACGACTAGAGGAAGATCATTAATAAATATTTAAAAAAAATGTAGAAAAAGTCAGTATATAAAATCTAAGTATTTGAAAATAAGGTCAACTTAAAAATTCCAAAACTCAGAATTTGAATAAATTTATTTAATTGGAAAAAAAGGGCGTATATAAGCATGTTCGGCGAATCACTCCGTATATAGTTACATCATGTACGTAATAATGAAAATAATAATAATAATAATAACAATAATAATGTATAAGGTAAAATGAAATACGAATAGGTATACGTGGTCGAAAGTCAAGTCGCCGCCAAGTCTAGTCGTGCTTGATTCTGCTGCAGTTCCGTCTATTATAATAATATATATATATTCGACTCGTGAGTCTCGGCAATCAACATCATTATATTAGTATATTACACACAAAGTTCAATACGGTGCAATGCTTTATTTTCTCAGCGACGAGACCACAAATTGTAATAATAATAGTATTATGACCGATCGACTACAATATAATAGTATATATAGGTACTCATATAATATAATATAATATATATATTATATATTTATGGCTATTCAAATATTATATGGTCATAAGTTTATAGCAAATAATGAAAGTAATATTCAGTGACTTATCCGAAGCTGCAGAGCACGACCACTTATCATCCCTAGGATTGTCCACTAAAAGAAACCCCTTCAAATAACCACACCACGCCACTCGAACTCGTAACTAACCATGCGCAATACACCCATACGGCATACTAGTCAAAAATACTTCTGAGAGGTATCTCTATTCGAATACAAATAAAAATAAATTTAAATTACTTTTAAATTTTTACTCGTATCCGAGATCGATTTCCGAACCGAAATGTTTTTATGTTTGTGTTAATTTTTTTTTTTTTTTTGACTACCCAGTTTAAATTACCAAAACCCTTAGAATTTGATACTTAAGCGTGTATAATAATAATAATAATAATAATATATTGCTTGAATAAAAATCGTAAAAAACCGTGTTCTTTATTTTATTATATGGGGTATACTAAATTATATTATACATATACCACCGGAGTAGGAAATAGAAATCTACTCTAATCCCATGACCAATTCAATTAAAACGTATAAAGGTATAGACGCAGAAACATCCAACAATATATTATATGATTGGACATTTTGTGACCTATTGTGCGTCCATCAACTTCAGGTATAATAATGTCCTTTATTTTTTAATAAAAATAATAGTTCGACCGCCTACTACGATTGTTCCAATTCCAATACATCTAATGCAATTGATATAGAAAAAATTATGTCGTTATATAATGCTATATAATATGACGTATATACCTAGGTACTATATTATATATTTTTTTTAAACAAAAAAGTATTGTTAAGTTTCCTTTTAATAAAATACGTATTATACGGTACAAAAACCTATAATCATATACCAGATACCTGTCATAAAATTAAACTTAATACTTGGACAAAATATCGAAAATCAATTGATTTTTTTTATTAAATTACGAACAAAGCGTACATTTCCTGAACTAGTCTTAGTAGACTAACCTTTTTTTTTCATCTAATAAATGTCATCTAATCTCCGGCATCTAATGTACATTTAAATGCATGGATTTTCTGCCAACTAAGACACATTATATTATAATATATAACTAATATATAAAATTGTAATTTACAATGTCATTATAAACAAATCGTGATATTAAAACGTGATGCTTAAATTTTATTATGGTTTTCAGCCGATTTCAACGGAGAGTCGGAGGTGGACAACAAGCAGAACGCCGCGGCCAGGGAATCTGACGCGTCATCCAACGTGTCGGACATCAAAATGGAGACGGGCACCGGGTCGTCGTTGAGCAATTACCGGTACAAAATCGACTACGGAGCGGACTCGTTGACGGTTACCACTACCGCGACCGCGGTCGACGACCAGCACCCGCGGTCCGCTACCCCGAAGAGCGGCGGCGGCAGTCAGACGACCCTGCCCGGCGGCGGAGGCGGCATTCCCCTGGCCGGCCCGGTTCCAGTCGACCCCCGGTACGCCACGGCCGCCGGTTATCTGGGGCACATGCACCCCCACAACGCCATGCACCACCCTCTGGCCAATGGCACCGTCATCGCTGACTACGCGGACCCGCTCAACTACGTCAGATACACCAACAACCATCTCGCCGTGAGTGCTCATCATATTATTACGTCCTACCCCAGGCATTATATTAATGATGTGTATAGGTAGCTTGCATAATGTGTACACCGAATTTGGTTTTCGCCGCTGTCAAAAGAACCTCGCGGATAAGGTTATAATATATAGGGTGCTTTTCGTAAAAGAAATCCACCCCCCCCTAACCCCCAAAGGGGGCTTGAATATCATATTATGTGATTAAAATGTTGTCCTCGAATTTATTATATGAAATTACAATTTGGTTTTGTTTAGAAAAATACACAACGGGACGATAAATTCCCCCTTTTTTTTAAATGCTCGTTTATTATTGGTGTTTTTTTTTCCCTGGCGAAAGTACATTCCTAAACTGATTGCTCGTGGAGTTATATTTTAACCGAAATACACAAGCACTGTTTCCACTCCACTACAGATGGATTGCCGTTCTCGGTCAGATTTGACCACAAACCTAGGTACACCGACTTATCCTTAACCACCGTGAGGCGTGAAATGAGGTACACTAAAACCCATTTAGGTGCAATTTTAATCTTATTCTTTTGGGTAGGTGAACAAATTTATGCCAAAAAGTCCCAAGTGGGAGGCAAAGCATTCCTCACCCTCTAGTAGCCTTCGACGGCTTTTATGCGGGTTTGTCACATGTCTACAACAAAATAAAGTACTATAACAAATTAGGAAATAGTGGTAGCTAAAATCAAAAATAATACAACCACTAATTCATATACCTAGTACTAGAATTAAGACAAAATTATTTTATTTAAAATAGAAAAATTTAAATCTAACACGTAAGGTTAATTCTTTCTCATTAATTATGAGTATTTATTGCCGTGTAAAGATCGACAAAACACAAGTTTGTTGAGTTGTTGGTGAAATGGTGACATGTGCATGCATGTACGATGATGAGAATAATATTATTCAAATGATACTGTAATGCAGCTATAATTATTACGTCATGATACCTAATAATAATTAATATTTTCCACAGACTAATATTCATTTACATATCTTCACACGTCGTCATTGACGATAAGTTTCTACAATTTGGAATATCACATATAAAACGCATACCTACATATACCCCTTGTCCCCTTATATAGGATAGGTTACAGTCAACCCTTTTAATCGCCCTATATGGGTAATCTTTATTACCTACTGTAGCTGTAGTAGTTGTATAGGAGATTTTTTCCTTTTTATCATATAATATGAGAAGTATCTTTGGAAAATCTACATAGATACCTAACGTGTTTTTCTCCTACAAACAGACAGTATAAATCAATAGTTTAACTATCTCACGATTTTAGCCCATAATCGAACGTATTAATTTCTACGTTGCATTCGATCAGAATCCCTCGAAGTTTAACGATTTCGAGCTTATTTTTTTACAAATGTATTAAATATTTTGTTTTTTGCTGCCAATCGAATATTTTACATTTAAACTCCGACGAGACGAGCTCCGAACTTGGTTGTTCGTTTATTACACCTGTTCATACATAATTTACCTATACCGTTCTGCTGAAAGATTTAAAACGTTAAAATTAAATCTACGACAGAGATAAAATTACAATAGGTGTATGATGATAATACTATAATACCTTCAGTATTTTGCGGACGGCTATCTGGCTGTTAGCAGACATCCTCTCAAATAAGTGCGGACGGTCAATCGCCTTGCCACGAAATTAGTTATTACCGGCTAATAGCTCGTCCAGATATTGATTGTATTGTGTAGTATTACACAAAGTATAAACTATATCTCTTTATAATGTTATTAAATATTAATGGTCGTCTTGCGGCGATTAGGTATTAATCCGAATTAGTGGTTAAATTATACTATTATAGTATATGGTAATATTACGGTCGGTCTATCCCGATAGTCGCGTTAATTAATTAGGTATGTATATAGGTAAATACGCACTCATCTCTACAGTATCGTTTCGACTTCTTCGAACTGTTCGATTACGGCAAACGTAATAATTAAACGTGCTTTGCAAGTCTTCAACTTGAAATAATTAACAACAATATAATATTGTATTGCGTAGGTAGGTACCTATCATCAGCTGACAGATTTTGAAACAATAACAATATTAAGGAACCCAATAACGTTTGACGGAATTACACGAACCCCTAACATGCATCATGTCTACGCGTATAATATTATTTAATATTATAAAATTATTATTATTGTTGTATGCCTCACCGTTAAAGCGATGCAAATTTTACCGTAAATTCGACTAATGTGGTTTTTTTTTTTTAATGTAAACCGTTTTGGGAAGCGTGGCTTAGGCGCTTATCCCCTTTTAGTGCACCAATCTAATTGGGGGCCCGTGTGTGCCGATAATCGAATTCTGTCTCGTTTTTGGAAATTATATCGTGGTGCATAGCAGATGCTACTGGGTATCTATTTTATATGCAAAGACGCAAAGTTGGGCATTAACTGGTTAACAAAATATATTATATTATAAGGCAAACATTAAAGCCAAGTACAATAATTTTGTTTTTCCTTTTTTCACTTAAATATGGTTATATATGTGGGTTTTCTAATCGACTTAAAGTTAAATTATCAGTTTTAATAACTTAGTTTTTCCAATCAATTAGAAAATAATACGTCGAGTGAAAATCATGTTCATATACCTACGTATTGTTAAACCAATTAATAGCTGAAACCAATTAGTTGATTATTTTCTGTTTGATGACGTTGTAAAAATAAACTAGTAGTGGCTTACACCATTACAGGTAATGATCAATAAGAATGAGGAGTAGTTTTTTTTTACAATTTTTAACAAAAATATCTAGTTATGTTTATTACATGTGCACAATCAGTAATCATTATATGACTCTAATATGTGCGTCGTGGGGTAGTAATTAAACATAATAATTAACCTAGGTAATCAAATAAATTGATCTGCATAATATTATGACTTTAAACTTTTACAGTTAAATATTATACTATTATGAAAGCATGACTTAACGTTCTCAAACGTTGATTCGACTTACCTAACTCGAGTTCGTTATTTGAGTCAGTAACCTAACCTATAATAATAATGCCATTGTAGGTCTGTAATATATTAACTTTTATTTTATTGTTAAATTTCGGAGTGGTGAGGGCCTAGTGGCAGCCCACTAAAATGTATTGACATTTGTGTACGACTTGAAATATTATCAAATCGATTAAATACCAACATATAATAATTTATTACTTAAACCGATATATATAGAAGTGAGTGCGTAAAATATACACGACGATTCACCAATCGTACCTTTATTCTTTAATGATGAATTCTGATTTTGGAATTTTCAAGTTTACTAAAGAACCATATTTCCCAATACATAGATTTGTTTTATCCCATTTCAGGAGTGCTCTGATTCTGGCGACACCAAATAATTTTTTTTTAATGCGAATCTGTACATCAGAAGATATTTTTAAAACTTTGATGTACCTAACTATCTAAACAGATAATTGAGCGAATAGTTTTGAATTATATAATTAACTTTGTATATTAAGAATAATTTAATAATAAATCCATGATAGTAAGTTTGAAAAATTCTATGTGGCCATGATTATTTCAAAACTTATAGTAATATTAATAAGCAATCTATCAACATTTTATAATTAATTATAAATATCGTGTGAGTATAATAAAAAATGGATCTAACATAACATCTGTTTTATATTTTTTTTTAAACCATTTTTTAAGACTATTATAATATAATCCTTAGTGAATACATTTTAATTACTCAGAAACTAGTGGCTAAAATTTTGATTTAGATGCAAAATAAATCTGTCAAACAATTTAGATTAAAAAGGGTTAATTCTCATTTGAAGAAAAATAAGTTTGTATCGTCATAGGACATATCCTCTCCCACATACCATTTTCCAATGTTAAAACTTCTATAACGTCGAAGTTGAGTTGAATTTGAAAGCTTTGTAAAATAAGATTTAATAATGCTAAATTAAATGTTTGTTTTTAAACCTTTACATTAAAACAAATTCTTACTGCTATGTAAACACTTAATTTAAATTAGATTATCAAAAGTTAATATGTATTAAACGCTGAATAAAACGCTTGTACAATGACCAACACTTAAATAGAGTATCATAAATAATGCATATTAAGCCTAAAATTATAAGCATTAATAATAAGGTTATATATAGGGTAATATATAGGTTTCTAATATTTAACGTTTTGCACACATTAAATTAAAATGTATTGTTAAAAATATTAGGGTCCTTATTTATTATTATGGACAACTATTTAAAAACCCAAAAAATCCGAATGCACAGAAATCATTATTAATAATGGACAAAGTGGGGTTGGAAGTGCTTGGTGAATCACTCTGTATAATAGGTTGGTATACATTTTGAGTTATTGTGACGACGGGCGTTATGATTGTTCATACTCTGGTTATAACAATATAACATATATGTAGTCCTAGTCCAACACGCAACATCGTTGTTTTATTATACGTTTCGACATTTCGTCCCTAAATAACATAACCCCAACAATTAAGAATGTAAAATGAAATAAAATATGTAGATACACGTGTTTGTGTGCGTGCGCACGGGGGTGTGTGTGTGTGTGTGGTGCTGGTTTTGTTAACGAGTCGATACGGTAAAAACGTATAGTCTCTGTTGGTATTGTGATACGATTATAAACAGTATAATAGTATGAAACGTACCTATATTTTAATACAACAATATAAATTATAATTATCAACGAACACGTTGCTACCGTATTCTAGTGGACGGGGGAGCGGGGTATTTCCTGGGTTTTCCCCTCACCGCCATATTGGACTGTGCGGTAGGTGTAACAACTTAACATCGCAGTGTTGTTATGCACCTATAATAACAATAACGAGTTAGAACAATTAATCAAGCTATGGCATGTAGAATGATTAACGAAACGTCAGCGGTGTTGAGAAATATTCGTTTCCACACCACTCAACACTCCACCGCGACCATTAAGTTGTCTCCTGTTGTAGGTACTAAACATAGACTCAGC